GATGATGATGATGATGATGATGATGATGATGATGATGATGATGATGATGATGATGATGATGATGATGATGATGATGATGATGACGATTATTCAGAGTCTCATACCAGGTTGGTCAGTGGTTGGAGATGTCACCAATACAGCCTCTCGGTTGAGGGTTAGAACATCTGTGGCGACTTATTCTGGAAAAATTGAAATGCACTTGCATTTCCTGTCAAACGCCGTTATATTGCGGCTAGACTTTTGAGCCAAAGGCATTGGCTGAATACCATAATCGCCCTCCTGTACAGGCGTGGGAATTCTAGCGGTATCCCAGCCCATGTACAACCATGACGCTTACATCTATCACTATTCTCATGCCATGGCGTGGTGCCATCAACCGGGTCGCCTCACTTGTTGCATACAGCAGGCTGGGTAAGTGAAAACAGGTTACTTCTGCCCACTCCATTCTTTCTTTCTCACATATGTTTCCTCTCTCTTTCTCTCTCCAAGCCTCATTAGCAACTTTTCCCCGTAGGCCCAGCACTTATAACTGAGGACTCCAATCGTTCGGCATCGCTTTTCGAATCAACATCTGCGATTCTTAATGCGCGGATATCCCCGGGCATCTCTTCAAGCCTTGACGCCCAGTGAATGTCGCTGTCCGTATTCGGAAGCGAGCAGGACAACCGATAGCTCATGCGTATACGCTGAATTCCCTTAGCATTGATATCTGCTGTCTGTCAAAAGCAAGAGTACATGCTGCAACTACTGGGATTGAACTAACTGCCTCCACACTCTATTTAGAGTTCCGCCTGCGCACCTCCAGTGGCGCACAGGCCGCTGCAGCTGAATATCCTGGGGTGAGTGTTTTATTGAGCGACCAAGTGAAACCGTCTTTACGTCATTGGATACCCGTTGTTAGTCGTCTCTGCCCCCCCAACTATGGCTCTGCATCTGCCAAAAACAGTTTCGATGACGCCTTAGGTGTCCTTTTAAAGCGGACTAAAAGCTCAGAGGTCGTTGTGGTTGCTGGTAACGTGACCACGTAGGGACGTAGAATGAGCGCTGATCAGGCGTTCTACAAGGTGTTTGTCTTGGACTGAACACGAGACGCGCGGACAACGGAGATCGTCTGCTTCAGATGTGTGTCGATCACAGAGTGTTCCTTTGCAGTACCAACTCGCGGGACAGCGGAAATTACCTGGCAACGTGGTGCGCACCAACGAACCACTCCAGTATCCAAATAGACCAGCACATCGCCGTCAGTCATCGGTGGCAGGGGTCGATCACTGCCTGTCACTCCTTCTGGAACACCAGCGTAGAGTCCGACCACGTGCTTGTGTGTGTGCGTGTGCTGCTGCTTGTCATTGTGCTTTTCAGGTCTACCCAAAACGCGCACACCTCGCCTAGCCATTGCGAAGCTAGTGTACCCAGAAATCAAACGAAACTATCAGAACCGGTTCCTCAAACACCTGCCGAACGGTCTGACGTCGGATATAAACGGCCACTCGGAAAAGATAATCAAAGCGCTACTCAGAGCCGGAGCTTCTGCTTGCGGTATAATCCAGCCAACCTGTTAAGGCCATGTATTTGTACCAGGCCCGGTGACAACCACAACTCAACCCGACGCATCATCCGATACCAGATGAAACTGAGTGTCCATGTGGACTGAGAATCCCGAAAGGCCAAGGAAATGAAAGATATAAAACAATGCTGGAAACGTTCACAAGCTGTTTCACTTGATTCATTCGACTGATCGTCGGAAGCCTCTTGTCAGCGACATTATCAGGGAGCAAGATGGCTACCTGATACCCGAAATAGCAGAACGTTCGAACCGCTGGACACAGTACTTCAGTTGGCCCTTGTTACCTTCAATCCGGAATCCTGGCCTTCAACCTCAGAAGTGTCCGAGCGTTATCATGTTCCTTTTACCTGGTCTTTTCAAGGATGGCGACGGGTTTCTCGGCCAGTGCCTTCTAACATATTTGGGTATACCTGGGAGAAAGAGAACGTCCCAGACCACTGGGGTAGATCGATAATGTTGCCCATTTTTGACACCAATGCTTCTTCGTCGTCTTACAGCGGCGCGCGAAGCCTTGACTAGTGAGAACCAAGTAGGGTTTCGACGAGGTAAAGACTGCGTCGATCACATCTCCGCAATGCGACATGTACAAGCAACCCACAATCTCGTTCGATTCTGTCTATCGATCAGTGTTGTTGACTAAAATTGCTCAACGGGGTATGCCCAAGAAGTGTGTAAACATTATCCGATCCCTGTGTTCACATAGTTCTGGGCGTGAGAGTGTATAGTGAACTCTCCAAAAAACCTATAAAAATTGGTGTCCCACAAGGGTGTCCACTTTCTACATTCTTGTTCAACTTCATCATTGATGAAATAATGAGGCGAACACTGGAAGGTCTTCAAAAGCTTGGTGGTGGGAACCTTGTAGACCTGGAGTACACAGGCGATATCACCTTATCTCTGAAGACCAAGGCGAAGCACAAGCCCTATTGAATAGACTGACCACCAGCATACCATCCTTCGGCATGCTCCTAGCACCTTCAAAGTGCAAAGTTCTGCTTCAAAACATACAGTCTCATAACGTACCCCTTACAATCCAGAGAGAATCATTTGGGGTTGTGGAGTAATATTGAGTACCGCGGTAGTGGTATTAGCTCTCACGGAAATGTGTCTGATGAAGTCAGTGCAAAAATCCCAAACGCCCGAATCACATTTGCTAACTTGCGTCACCTGTTGCGTCCAGAAGGCATATAACTGGACCTTAAGGGTCGCGTGTACCAGGGCTGTGTTGTTGTATGGCTTCGAGACGTGACCTCAGCGGATAGAGAATATGAGGCGTCTTCAGGTTTTTGACCGTTGATGCCTCAGAAGCGTTCCTGGTTCTGGATGGCGCCAACGGATCAGTAGAGAGATTATCATAAAACGGACATTTGTTTGTACAGCAGATACTTCAATCGCAAAAAACATCCAGCATCATCAACTTCGGTGCCTTTGTCACGCACACCGGAACACCGTCTACCCTGACGGTTCCAAAATTTGTCGGAGGATGAATACGAGATCGATGCATCCTCTTAGTGGATAGAACCCAGTCTGGTTTTCGCGGATCTGTCTCTCCGTGTTTAGTGAACCTGCGAAGGATAAGACCAGAGATCATCTTCGATACTACAGCTAATAGGCTGATGCCACGGTGGTTTTCACATAGCGTCCGCGTATCCTTTTTGATGATAAGGATAACTGTTGACATGCCGCATTCTGCAGGCACATGTTCGGGCTTGGGTGCTAAGATTATTCTGCGGGCTAAACTGGTTGGAATTTCGTCGTGAAAGATACAGTCATGCCAAGAATGCCAAAGGGAAGCAGCCAGACAAAGAGTAGCGAGAACACATACTACGGGTACTCGTTTTACTACTTTACATCGTACTGTCATCTGCGATAGGAGTGTGAGAGCAGTAAGGCGTACTTCCCAAGCCATCAGCATGTTGATATTCGTGGAGGCAGCGATTCTGCCTTTCCACTGAACGGATACGTTACTATTCGTCGTCGCTAAATGCCGATCGCTCCACTGTTGACTATGACCGCTTGTGAGTTATCCAGTACGTTAGAAATGCTACAAAACTCATTTTGGGTCTAAGCGCATCTTCTGTGTACGGCAGCGTCAAGAGTGAGATACCTGTGCCCGATTCTTCGCTTCCTTACTGTTAGATCAACTACCCGCAGTCGAGCAGATCAAGCTGTTGAGTCATGGGCTCCGGAAATAGTCCCTCAAGAAAACACCGCTGTCAGCTTCTCCGTAGGTCAGATTTTGCGTCAGAAGCAAAGTCTCCGAACATAGCCCGACATTCTCCTGCTAGGACTCTCGAGTCAAAGGCTGAAGGTCAGGTTCCTCAAACGCCCGTTTCCTCCGCCTGGGCAGGCGGTAAGTATCATTCTCCCTCCCAGCTCTTTGTCCACCGACGTCCCTCCCCAACCCCTTCCCATCTTGCAGACGAATGGTGTCTCAATGTCATACTACCATGTCTATGTTTGAATGAAATATTTAATGGAAAAAATGAAGCACATTGAGGGACCCAGGGCTCGCTAAGAACTAACAGCCGAGTTGCCTATACCTTCAACACTCGGTCAGACAACCTGGATAGAAATAACTCGAAAGAAATACCTCACCCAGATCTGATCAGAACTGACCACACTGCATAAGTTGGGCTGGCTTGATCACAACCAACCGAATTCCTTCCAGAGCATAACCATGCGAGTGGTGAAAACGAGCTGCAGCAGCGAAGCAACAGCTTGGTAGCGAAGTATGGAAGCCATCACCAACAAATTCAGCTGAATTGGTCGTTGCCGTCTCTCTGGATGGAGAATGCACAAGGGACACATCATTGGTTGGAGACATTGATAGACCTGGCCCAGTAACGTGTTCCATGGTGCGCATATGTCCTAACTGTTGCGTTAAATGCATAAGTTCTTTCGATTAAAAAGTCCACTGACACATATGAGTTATATGAGCGACCATATCCGAGACCGTCAACAGACGAAACTGTGGCCGCTATAGCCAATACACAGCAGGCACCACTAAAGATGATGATCTAGCTCATCTCCACGAGCAGTAGACCAATGTGTTGGTAGTGCTGATATTAGTACTATCTGATTTTCAGAACCAGTAGTCCTTCCAATTGCTGCTTTTAGAAGCATTCCAAAATGTTTGGATCAATCAGATGATTACCCACTTCATCGAGCCAAATGTGACGTTCTAAATTTTACCTTTACCTTTACGTTTGTTCAATCCAGATATTAAAGCCGGATGTTCTAGTACGGGTCACAGAGTTCATCGGTCAGATTATTGAGTTTATCCAGCGAATTATTGAAAACGGATTTGGGTGAGTCTGTTCTGTGTCCGCTTATATCGTCGATCAACTTTGCTAATGGCTGCATCTCTTAAACTTCTATATGGCGGGGTCGCGTACGGAGAAAACGTTTAGAACAATAACGAACAATAACCGTAACCAAAAGTTGTGTCATTTTAGGATTAAAATTAATTCTCTTTGATGCCCTTATTGTTCTGCTAATATCAAAATTAGTTTCTGTGAGCCTAACAATAAATGGGGGAGGGGCGAGATGAAAACTGTGCTTCAGCGAACCATCCTCACCACTACCAGTCATCAGAAACAGTAACATCAGTGTAGACTCTGGTGCTTCACGGCCGTACAACCACAAATACATCTGATCAAATTTCAGGTCTTAGGATGGGAGGAATACAGAAATGGTGGTGGCCGGGGGGCCTAGTTCTTGACTTCAAATGATAAAAGATAATCTTTCCCCTGAAAACCCTTGGTGCGATGACACTCGAAGGAAGGACGAGCACTGCGATACAAACTGGTAGCCCTGGCCTGACGATGATGATGATGATGATGATTGATGATGACTGCTGATTGATGATGATGATGATGATTGATGATGACTGCTGATTGATGATGATGATGATGATTGATGATGACTGCTGATTGATGATGATGATGATGATTGATGATGACTGCTGATTGATGATGATGATGATGATTGATGATGACTGCTGATTGATGATGATGATGATGATTGATGATGATTGATGATTGATTGATGATGATTGCTGATGATTGCTGATGATTGATGATGATTGATGATTGATTGATGATTGCTGATGATTCCTGATGATTGATGATGGTTAATGATGATTGATGATGTTTGGTGATGATTGATGATGTTTGATGATGATTGATTGATGATGATTGGTGATGATGGATGATGATTGATGATGAATGATTGATGATGATTCGTGATGATTGCTGACGATTGCTGATGATTGATGATTGATGATGATTGGTGATGATTGATGTTGACTAATGATTATTGATGATGATTGATTGATGATGAATAATGATGATCGATGATAACTGATGATGACTCATGATGATGATTGATGATGATTGATGGTGATTGATGATCATTCGTGATCATTGCTGATTGGCTGATGTTGACTGATGATGACTGATAATGAATGATGATGGCTGATGGTGATTGAGAATGATTCATGATGAATGATCATGAATGATGATGATTGATGATGATTGATGATGATTGATGATGTTTGATTGATGATGATTGGTGATGATTGATGATGTTTAATAATGAATGATTGATGATGATTGATGATGATTGGTGATGATTAATTGTTGATGATTGATGATGATGACTGATGATGATTGATTGATGATTGATGAAGATTGATTGATGATGATTGCTGATGATTGATGGTGATTGGTAATGATTGATGGTGATTGGTGATGATCGATGATGATTGATGATGATTAATGATGATTTATGGGGATGGATTGATGATGATTGATGATTGGCTGATGACGATTGATGATGAATGATGATGGTTGATGATCATTGATAATGACTGATTAATGAAGATTGGTGATGACTGGTGATGATTGATAATGAATGATTAATGATGATTGATGATGATTGATTGTTGGTGATTGATGACGATGATTGGTGATGATTGAT